GAGAATAGACTTTATTTTATATTATGTAATGATGATACATATTATAAAAATATGTAAATAATGTTTCAATAATTATATTGTGATTTAAATATTAAATTCTTTTTGTAATACCACATTTTAATAATGTTGTCATTAATCATTTGCAGTTAACATAAAATACTTTTTTTATTATATTTTTACAAAATAAAAGTAACAAATTCCCATGTTCTACCTTCATCTTCCAGTGTCACTCTCTCCTGTTGTATGTGTACTTTTAAGTTTGTGTATGTTTATGTATGTATTTGTTTATGTGTATATATATATATATATATACACATAACACAAATATATATATATATATATATATATATATATATATATATATATATATATATATATATATATATATATATATATATGCACATGTATATGTATATATATTTGTTTATATATAATAGTGCGCTACCTATCCTTTGTTTTTCTTTTTTTTTCTCAATGTCCTCTACCCAAAGGTTGTCTAGAAGAGATTGCTTAGCGATAAGGCCGCCTTTTTGTATCATTTCCTATTACAGTTAAATGTATTTACCATTTCATAAATGGTGCAATAAAGTGTAAATAAATAAACAAATAACATAAAATTATTACTTCTACACAAAATAAATATATTTTGTTTTTAATAAAAAATTTAATCTTTTTCTGTGTCCATAGTTTCTTATACAATTTCGTAAATGCTTTCCTTATCAAATCATTACGAAAATAACAATTACTTGGCTTCGTTCGTGCTTGTTCATCGGTATCGGACACATTTACATTGGCTTCTCTCGATATCTTGTTAATTATAATTAAATAGGTAGGGCGTCAAATATGTTCAGAAATTGATTAACCACTTCTTTTTATATTAAAAATGGTCAACAAATATTTATTACGAGTATCATCGTGACGTTTGTGCAACAGTAATCTCTATTTGTAAATGCTGTTTTCGAAATACTAATAAAATCTATTTATCCTAAATATTTTTACATATTGAAGAACAAGGTTTAAATATTTTTCCAATTAGATAATCAACTAGACTTTATTTTCTAGACTTTTTAATTGAATTTTTATGATGGTAAATTATAGATTAATACGAATGTAAGAAAAGATCATTAAAATGTATAAAAAAAATACTTTTTATAGCTATATCTATTGCTGATTACTACTACCTTCGAAACTTTAAATCAATTTCAAAATATATCGTTATATTAAAATACAAATTAATAATAAATAAATAAAAATGTGTGAATTAATTTATAATACAAATCTTTAATGCTAAAGTTATAATAAATAAAAACGAATTGACATGATAAAACACAATTAGTAAATAAATAAATTATTAGTTAAATAATTAAAAATAGTTTAAAAATTATTTGACAATTTATTGGAAATACAATTTGTTTTGAAATTGTTTCCATTTGTAAATTGTAATTTGTTATACGAGTAGGTATATATAAACATTTGCAATAACAAAATAAAATTAAACAATTATTATTGTTTCTGTGACTTGTGTATAATGTGTCAGCAATGAGATGTTTTTAATGTAACACTTTCGTTTTCACTACACCCGCCTAACACGAATATTATAATGTTTATTAAAAGTGTCTCGTGAAAGAAACTAGGACTGAACCGATCTCGGGCGGCCTCCCAGCGTGTCGGGGCCTAATAATGGGTAGTTTTTCACCGGGTGGTGTGTACATAACGTGAAAGCGGTTCTGACATGCAAAGCTGCTTTGTTGGCTGGCGTGCACTGAATGGCGTGCACCATTCACGGCACACATGCCGACCGCAGCGCATTGGTGCAGCTGCCAGGCTTCGATCGCCGGCTTGAATGAATGCGGGATGGTGCGGGATCGATACCCGCTGCGGCAGCGCGCCGGCCGCCCCGCGCCCGTGACGTCACGCACGCGCCCCCACCCCCGCCCCCGCCGCCCGGCGGACGGACCGTCGCTTCCCCGTTCCGCCCCCACACCATAACCACGTGTTCGGGTGCACGGGGTCGGTCGGTCGCAGCCCCGAATCGATGCCGCGCGAGATCCATCACGCCCTCGTGCTGCCTGCTGTCCTCTACCAACACCCCGCCCCTTTCCACGGTCCTCCACGCTCCTCTCACATGATAACATCCAAATTTTGAAGCGGGAACCGATAGTGATCTCGCTCCCGTAACAAGACTCAGAAATGTATTTAAATTGTTAGGGTCTGCCACTTTTTATATGTCGTCAGGAATTGAGCGTTCAAAAATTATTAACATATTTTTACGTTTCTTCAGGCACAATCGAGCTACATAATTACCAAAGCTCGTAAATGTGTAAGTTCAACATGATTTTTATAATGCATGTCCCCTTGAAGCGGGATCCGCTTGCCATACGTCCGACTATGTATTATATGTAACAGAAACACAATTGGCATACATTGTGGTATTATAAAGACAGGCTCGTTGGCACACATTCTAAATTATTGTAAGAAGTAAGGCGCGCGGACGTCCCAGTGTCCCTTTGTCTGTCCTCTTCCTTAGTGTCGCTTTAGTATGCATCAATCTGGATGTAACAAGGGCGCTGTCTTCGGACACGACATCTCTAATTGTCGCATGCAGTTCGTGACGTCGTGATTCTCTTAAACAATATCTACTTATGACTCCTTTCTGTGGTTTGTGTATTCTTGATGTTAACCGTTTTCGTCAAGTGTAACCTATCAACTATGCTTATATGAGATTGTCAAAGATGAGTGAGTTTTATTGATTTCAGTTTTAAAATCAAGGTGATCGAAAAAACGGGGACAATATAAAACGCAATGTACCTACTAATGAGCGAGTACATAAACTCGTCGAAGCAGCAGTAGTTGAAGTAAGGCTAGTCCCGATGTAGCGACCTCACCTGGAATTTTGCTGGCAGATCTTACGCATACACTGACATACGCATGTCGCAGAATTGACCAACTAATATGACATCGTATAAAAGTTTATTGACAAGTTATTTGTTATGCAGAAGCTTCATAGATGCCGTATTTTTATACATATTTTTACGTGTACTGTCTCTTAACAAAAACAGAATTGGTGAAAAGTACTTTTGCAGTATCTTAAAGATGGAGCATCATATCGCTAAAGTCCATAGTCAAAGCCCGATCCATTGTATGAGGTGTTAGAACGCTAGAATTTCCACAAAACAGTCTTATCAGAGTTAGATACTGGCCACCTTGATAATTAACTGTCTCAAAGATTGTCAGATCTGCCCCCCAAATCTTTATCTGATTCAGACTTGCGCTATACCAAATAAAATTTCTTTTTTAACTTGAAGTCGATGTAACTTTTTTAACTTTTTCGTTAAAAAAGTTCGTCGCTAGTTCCCTAAAGATGTTATTAACTTTTTATATTAGTATCATGTTCAAGACAATTTGCTTCTTTAATGATATTGATTTCATTATATGTGATTATTGGAATTCAGTAGTACAACTATTGGACTATTTATTTATATTAGATGTTTCAGGGAGTTTCCTCCCACGAACACTCAGGTTGTGGAATGAGCTCCCTGCCGAGGTTTTCCCAAGAGACTACAGCATGGGGTTTTTCAAAAGGGGGGTAAAGAGGTTTCTTCAGGGTCGGCAACGCGCGCGTAATACCTCTGGTATTGCACGTGTTCATAGGCTATGGTAACCACTTACCATCAGGTGGGCCGTATGCTTGTTTGCCACCTCAGTGGTATAAAAAAAAATATTATCTATATCATGATTTTGATGACAATGTTCATCTGAGACAATTTTATAGATAATGTTTCCTTAAATTTAAAAATTGTCCTTTTGTCTCAAAACAGAATTACGAGAGAGAATTTTTTTTTATAGGGACATACTACACATAGATATATATCTTTTCCTCTTTTGACTAGAGCTAAAGTTGGTCCTGTCTACCGTCATTTCTAATTATGGCTGATGATTAAAAAAAAGGACGCTCTCTTATGAAACCTTTTTAAATATTAATACAAGGCATCTAAACCATTCGTTTTCATTTTTAATAAACATCTAATTGTCGTTAAACCACGAAAATCGCAAAGTATTTTTCCCGATGTTCTAATAACAATAGACTTTCATTATTGTTTATAATACATTATATATAAATACGTCATCTATAGGTATATCTATATTTTCAACGTAAATCGCAAATAACTTGTCGCAAAACACACTCACTATCTGTCGCACTACACTATTATTATCTATATGAGAACTATTTTTTTAAACTTCAGTAGAGAGGTCTGAAACTTGAGACGTTAACGATTTTGAAACAATTGTGTATAAATGTTTTTTTGCTATAGGTGTTTTGTGTTCATGGCTACGGTACGGTATACTTACTCTGATACGCATGGCTTCCTGACGACCCCGCTCATGTAACTCCTTGTGCTCTGTTTTACATGTTGTTTCAATAAAAGTATAGATGTTTTCAGTGAATATAATAATTTGATATTGAGATATGATGGGATAGCAGCAGATTGTACATACTGTTGCCATACATCGAACACTACAAAACCCATGTGGACGCTTGAGGAATGAGTTCGCACGTTTTGAGTGTAATGTAAAGCATGCAATAAGTACACGGATCCGTACGTCAATGCCAATTCCTTTTAATCCCTTTTCATATAGGCATTATGGTTTTAATAATGTCCAAACGAATTGTTTGAACTTTTTCTTTCTATTTAATTTTTTTTTTCTTCGAAACAATATCAAATACGCATATTTAATTGCTGTTATGGTATTTCAGTTCGTAAACTCTTTTTTTTTTTTATTATATTAATAATGTTATTGTACACAGATAAAAAATAACATGAAGGTACACGAACAATACATTTCGACTTATGAACACACAATGTTGACTTACGTATTCGTGTATAAAGTGTGAGTGGTCCGAGCGATATCTGTGAACCATAGGTAGAATAAATACGTACAGTGTATAGAGTGGATGCCGATGTGCAGTAGTGAAATGTGCGCGTACGTTGATATTGCAGATAAGGCGTCGGGGCGCGAGGAGGCGCACGCACACGCAGTGTGGCGAGGCCGGCTGCCAGCGCGCTCGCCGCCGCCATGCCACGTGTGACGCGCGCCCCGCCCCGCCGACACCGCCGACCCTGCAGAACTCACCGCCCGCCCCATTAAGGTCCACTCCACTCTATTACTCACGTTACGCCCCGACTTTTGAGTGTCAAATGAACTCCTGATATTATTACTAAGTGCTTCACTTGAGCGAAAGCAAAGCGACCCGTTAGGTAGATAATCATATATTAGCGGCGAAGTGTTCTCGAGTACTATGATACTTCTTTTTTAAATAAGCTTGTGCTGCGAACGCAACTCGCCGCGGACGCAGATCCTTTGTAAATAGTACTTACAATACATATAATAAACAGCTTATACAGCTTGTCACTTTCTACATTTCGACACACGTGTAATATTAGGAATGGTTCTTCATGACAAATAATCAAAATAGGCCTATAGAAGTACTCGTTTCGTTCGTGAGGAACGTTCTTGAGTGTCGCTTATTGCTTAACCACTAGTTTGTAAATAGTCAAACGGGGCGGGAGACGGCCAGCGCCGTCACCGCTACCACCGTTAATATAACAGGGAGCAGGGCGCGGGCCGTGCCGTTCGAACGGTTCTCGAGTCGCCAGACTCGCGGCGGGGCGGCCCCCGTACGCCCCACTCGGACTTACACTACACAGACATGACACATACCATTGAAGCAGCGAACACCATCTCCGCGCTGTTCGTTCGTTGTGGCCTAACGCTGGTAGGCCTTAAATACTCCATAATCGATCAAACTATACGAGCCTGGCTCGAGCGTAGCCCGACACTTGATAGATCCACTGCGGGCGCTGCGCGCCGCGCGCCTGCGCCTGCGCATGCCGCTGTAGGTTTGCCGTTCGCGCAGCTTGTCATTAATTCTACCAGGTTCTAAATATGATACGTTTAGAGTTCGTTTCCGACGTCCAATGCGCAGTCTCGGTAACAAACGCATTTAGATCGGGGTTGTGAGCTAAGTATATCAACCTCGTGCGAGCAGGAACGTAGTAGAATAAGTTGTTTATGTTGTATGTCGTGTAACACACCCAGTATAATATTCAATATCCCAGAGCAATGCGTGCGAGCACTTCTCGCCGCGTACTCCTTACCTGCGTGTTTGTGGTGCAACAGCCTCGGATTCCCTTTGAACTCGATGTTACAGTTAATAAATGTTGTAGTTGTTAGTATATTCTATGAGCCAGTGTAGTTACGCCCCATGAGGATCTCGTATCATCTTGTTGTTTTAGACGCGCCCCGTACCCGGCCGGCGGCAGTCGAGTGCGGCCCGTGCTATTATCACTGCCAAACGCTTGCGGGTGCGCTTTATTGGTATTTTGGTCGATGTTCATTAATTATAGGGTGGATGGTTGTGAGGCGACGATTGCCAGGCGGCTACATAACCAGGGACATTTGAAGCTATTACATTACGAATAGCTTAGAATGTTACCACTAAACATATCCGATAAGACATGAATTTATTACTTACTATATGTTGTTCGTCGTAAGTTATTGTCCGCCGGCAGATTGATATCGACATCAAACTGTACACCTGACAACACGACACTAGTGTCACAATATAAAAATAGTTCAACCGGATGTAGGTAACTGTACCATTCCGTCACAATTAACCGACAGCCACCTAACGAATGGACACTTGGATACTGGTTGTTTAACATAAACTTATAAGTTGTAACACACCAGAGTACTTACACCTTCTGTAAACTTGTCAACAATAATAAAAAATACATCGATATAAGAGCTAAATGCCAAATCAAATTCAGCTTCTTGTAAAAGATAAACATCAAATCTGGGCTTTCACTTAGTATCCAAAAAATATAATATCGAAGTATTTCTGAAGTTCCACAAACAATGGTGTCGGATTGTTAGGATAACTACGAACAAGTAATATACGACCAGCTCACCGCGTGAATCATCAAAACTATCTTTTAGTTAAGCCGGGATATTTTCCTAATATTCTCCCTTTTTCTCTCCTCCCACCCTAGACGTGGTACTAACAAATCTAGTGACAGAATCGTTTCGGTCAACGCTCGCACGAGAGGAAACGAGACAGCGCACGCCGCCATGTCATTCTATCTCATGAGCTCGCTAACGAAACGATTCTTTTGACAGATTCGTTTGTACTTTGTCTAGGGGGGCTGGTGTCCTGAGCAAAGGGCAAACGAATCCATCAACAGAACCGTTATCATTAGCGAGCCCATTAAAAAGAACAACACATGGGACGTAGACACCTCACTTTTACTCAATTCTGCACAGGTATTAACCGATCGTTAATTCATTTTCCAATACGTTAATGCATAAAAATGTCAATTAATCGTATAATTAATCTTTTTTTTTTTCAAATGAAAGCATACGGCCTGGATGATGGGCGATGCCAATCTGCCAGCACATAATCGTTGTGTAAATGGGATTAGGAATTTAATGATTACGTGCTAGATTTAAAATACATCTTAATATTTTTCGTCATATCATTAATACACATTTCATAGCGTATTACATCTAGACAAAAGACATGGTATTTACGCTCTATATATTAGATTAGTGTAGGTATAGCATCTAATTAGAATTAAGTGCTGCCCCTTTACTGGGCATAGATTTTTTTGACGCTAATTGTCCGATCGTCAATTTCGCGGGGCAGTGGCGACGCGGGATTATTGCAGAAAGCGATTACATTCTATAGAAAAGGAATAGATTATGTTGTAAACTAGTTCACACGTCGTGCAGTTACAAATGAAATGTCTTTGAAATATTTTATTGTCCGATAATCAGTGGCGTGGCGGACGGTCCGCAGACGACGTGGCGCAGGAAGCCCCTACTTGTTATTCTGAGCCCCTCATTAGCAATTTTTCGGGGGGTGTAAGGGCTTCAATAGAAAGCTACGCCCCTGGTAGTACATGTACTTGAAACGCATAATAGTGGTTGAATACAGATTCAAGAATTCGAATAACGGTTGCGCACTACTGCCCCTTGTCAACTGGAGCATTCCTTACAAAATGACTCTGGCACCATCCTGTCAAGTTCGATCGGTGTTATTTACATATATTACAGTCATTGTTGTCGATGTTAATGTAGTGAATGTTTGCGTGTTTAAATTCAATGGGACGTACTCGGTATTTAGATGATATTTGTTTGGTGTGATGTGAATCCCTTATTACGGATGCATTCCTTAGTCGTATCTTGAAATATATCAACTGTTCATCTACGTTACGTATGTTAGTTCGCGATAGCTTACACCGCTTAGGAGGAAGAGAGAGTTGACTTTCCCCATTATGCCGTTAATGGGATACAAGTAAATTCAACTTTTGTTTGATAAAATAATAATCGAGTTTCTTGCCTGTTCATCTGAAGTTCAGTTGAAATTGCATTCTGTACAGTACGGTAATTAAAATAAAATCCTTTTTTAAGTATATTTAAAATTAAATTTACTCGAATAACAAATAATTTTCTTTATTTATTTATGCAGTATTCACATGCCATGAATTATCTATTGCCATCTGCTTTATATTAGCCTTCAAACTTTTCTTTCATATTAAATTTGACGCGCGTTTGACTACCATCTCACCTGAAGTGATAATGAGATCTGAAGTTTGCTACCAATGTTATTTATCAAAGTAACTAAGTACCATTTTTAAAAATGTTGAACACATAATAATATTCAATCTTCCTCTTAAGAGAATAGGACGCAAATCAAAGCAGTTTCATATTAAACAAGTTGCATAGTAAGTATACAATTTTCTTTTCCGAGAAAAGCAAACCATTCGTTCCATGTGTGAGAGTCGCACATTTGTAGGCGAAGCTCTGTCCACACACCACGATTCTCGCCGATACCGTTTACCTCTTGATACGACACGAAAACAACTATTTCTTTGATCTGTCTGACATAACAATTTCATAATAGATTTTAGAAATGTCAAAGAGAAATTAAAATTGATAAAAAATCCTGTAAAATACTGATAAATACTTAATATGCAAATTGTTTAATGGAATGTAATATCTAAGCTAGTCTTTTCGCGGCAGATATTGCTTACAATCTAGGCCTACCATTTGTACCGTCCTATAAAAATAACACCCGTTCGAAAAGATGACATATCTGTAATTAGTTACGCTGATTAAACTTATTGTCAAAATATAAGCTTAAACCAAATATTGCCACTAACATCATTGCTGAGAACTCACTCAGTGAGTGCTGTAAATCACTCCAATGCAGTTGCATTCATGTCGTGAGCGTAAATCTCAAAGCAGTGCTCACAAGTGCGTGTCTCGTACGAGTTGAAACAAACATTGAAAGTGCATAAGCAGTAAGCATAAGTACTTCAGCATAACTAATGTTGAATGCAGCAACAACAGACGACGGTACTGAGGAGCCGTGCAACATACATAACAAGGAAGTCGAGGCTGTTGCAACAAAACTATTAGATGTTTCAATGTTACAAAGATGTTACAATGTAATAATTATCTGTTTGACGTGTAGTGATAAAAACATGATGTTACACAATTTTTCGGTTCATTAGCACACGGGACCCGTGACTAGTTGGCTAATGTAATACTGCGCAATACTCAGTGCACACTGCTATTAGCCCTCTTTCGATTTACAGTACCCCCTAGACAATGAAATTACCCGTAGATACGTCTTCGTTAATTAGGTTTTGTTATACTTGTAACGTGGTCGAGTAATCTGAACCAAGTTATGTTCAATATAAGGTCCAGACTAGTCTTTGAGCTCCCTAAAATATGGTTGAGCGTAATAATGATAGGCACGTTCGTTATATTCGTGAACGGGTGCAACTTGTGGAGACTGGTCGTGTTTACACCTAATAATTGATTATTTAATTTTATTACTGTCATTGTACACATATAAATATAAAATTATTTTCTACATAATTAAAAGAGTAACTGTTTATTCAAAAAGTTGGTAGAAAAAGAGTTTCTCGTGATTATTGTTTCTTTTCAGGTTTTCTTTTTTGCGGGTATTTTTCTCTTTTTAACATTTCAAACCCGGCATTAAAATCTCAAAACGTGACGATTTAGAAAAGCTTATAAGCAAATTTATTTGATTAAAGATATTTTTTATTCTATTTTATTAGCACACACACTGAGATAGAACAAAACACCAGACGTTGCTATCTCATGCATACAGAAGCGATAACATGTCTATTGGTATATCCGATTTACATTTTCTAGGGGGGAGTTTAATCGAAATCATTATCTCTTATGTTATATCAATGAAACTGAATGTTTATTCATAGATACATGGGTCAAAAAGTTTTGGACCTCTCTCAACCAGCAACAGTGTCAAGTTAGCATAAAAGGTGATTATATCTTTTTTCCATCCATGTATCTTTGAAAAAACCATTCAGCTTAAGTTAGATAGAACGCTGTCTGTTCTTTTATTCATTATATTGTTTTATTAACTGAACAAAAAAATAGAAAATATTGGTATTATTGTTGTGGTAACATTCCCTAATCTTAGCTTTGACAATTCTAATTTTATAAGTTGATGATTTAGCAAAGTTAAATTGAAAGTATTCTCAACTCTAGTCTCTAGTAGATCCACTATTACTAGTTACTATTATAATTTTATAATAGTTCATACTGGTCTTTAGAATCTGATATGATGATTTGACCAAATTACAAAGCAACTGAGACTGTAACTATCCGATGTGAAAGCCATCGGTATTTCGTAGACTACAATAGATAGAAAGCAATTTCTCAGACATCACAACGCTCAGTGAGCTTAAGACTAGAGGAGATAGTCCTTCCAGCAATAATTTCTCTGTGTTAAACTCATATTTTGTTTTTGGAGATGGAGAATAGCATATTTTAATTCATTACCAAGACTTAACATTGCACGATTACAACACACCTAATTTTTAATTTAAAATTAACAAGGGAGTGATACTTCTCAATAATACCAGCGTCATAGAAATAAAAAGAAGGTTGTCAATGTCGACACGTAATTTTAATGTTTGTATTAAAATTGATTTGTTTTCGTAGTTATTTTTTCTAAAGAATGAGCAGCAATTCAGGTCGCTAATAGATAGATTTAAATTCAAACAGATCCAGATTACTTGCAGAGAATTTTGCTCTTAAACACCTCCTGTTTTTCTGTTTAAAACTGCTTTTTACTATCATTGAAGAAAGAAATTTATCAAGCAAAAACACTGCGACCTCTGAGATCTATTATGCTCGTTCTTTCTTACAGTTCGTTGCTAATTCTTGTCAGTGACAGGAATTTTAAAAAGCTCTTGGTAGCGATGTTCTTTCCTTCCTAAGAATATATATAAATTTTTAAAAAATTCCTTAATATCATTTGTCCAGTGGGTTGCAACAACAAATGACGTGTTGAGACGTATCTGCCTCAGTATAACAATGTGCAAACATTTATTGGGCTTAGGCCTAGTTTGGCCAAGTACTTGTTTAGTTTGCATTGCCCAGAGAAGACCCTTGTTAATGCACAAATATCGTTTTTCTTAAAAGCATAAGCTTCTTTGAGTAATTTTCTGAAGATCCCTGAATTAGAACTTCTTGTTTTAGATGTCTGAGCTTTAATACTCCTTGACAACCTTCTGTATATTTCTGTGAGATTAATATTTTTTCAGCTTTTATTATCGAAAATCTCAAGAATCTGTACTTATCAGAATCTGACAGATTTTTCAATTATCTATTTAAAAACTTGTATGCTAGTAGCATGCCGTATTGCGCGGTGTTACAAAATTATTGTTTTTAGATTGATTTAGTGTCTATCTACAATTATTTTTCAAATAACAATGTGCGGTGGTCCAAAGACTTGTATTATCTTGAACCCAACGAAACTTCCTTAATAAAAAAAGATTACAAGACCAGGTAGGCATCGTCTGTAGCAGAGCTGTCCAAAGCACGCAGCTTATATTCGTGCATCTCGCGATATGTTCTTTATCTACGAAAAATCTCCTTTTATAAAATAATTTTGGATGAACATTATTTGTATTTTTTTAAAAAATTCAAAGTATTTATTTCCGCGACCCTCCAATCTATTTCATAGTTTGTATCATCCTGAGATCTTAATTGGTTTGGACCGCTCTGATCTATAGTTTCATTGCTATTCAATTTGCGAAATAACCAATGTAACTGACTTCACCAAAGCATACGGTGACAGAAGCAGAATCGGAAGTCAGCGACAAATCTCGCATAACATCAACGATCTCGATGCCAACCTGTGTTTAGGCGTGACTACATTCCCCTTAATAGCTTGCGTATCCCCGACTCCGAGAGTCAAACCCACACAAATCCTTACACATGAGATGCAAGCTATAAATATTTGTGAATTACTCATGTTGGCCAAAACTGTAGTTACGCCGCGTCTATTATGGTGTATTATAATTTTCGCTCAGTATTATTAGTTGTTACAATATCGTTCGTTTGTGTGATGTACTGGAGCGTGATGAATGTGCAGAAGTGTGGCAAGAGGTAGTACTTGTACATACGGGCCCGGTGCAACCGTAGACTTTCAGTTCACTCCCACGACTCACACCGAAAAGCTCCGCTACACGAAACTAAAACTCTATTCTGTTACCTGTATTACATTTTTTAATATCGTAGATAGATAAACCCACATGGATTTCGCTGAGGAAATCACGTTTTCTATTTACTTGAATATCAATCTCGTAGTTAGGATGGAGTTGGCAAATTTAAAATTTATTAAGAAGTCTGAAAATGTCCGTTATGTATAACAGACTGTATTGAATATGGTCTCTAGTAACAACTGTAAACGGTAATTTTATCTGTAAATTGAATTCAATTTGTTTTAAGATTTATAGTTAGGTGATATAACTGCAAACTTTAGCATTGTGTGGTATATCTAAATTTGTTTTAGATATATATTTTGCTTGTTTAATCGGCTAGGAACGGTTGTGGACGTTGCGTTTGTATGAATTCTGAAACCTGCCATGGGACCCGTCGTGTATGTAGCGATCCGTCGCCGCCTCGCTTTCTCGCTCTCACCTGCCCCTCGCTTGCCACGTACAGCTCTCGGTGCATCGACCGCCTCTCTAGACACCTAACGTAGTTACATTTATAGCTTAACACTAACTCTAGGGAAGTTCCATTTCATACAACAGTGTACCGAGTGCTCTGCCGTGGTACGACCTTGTCCCCGTAGCTAAATTACTTTGTTCACTTGCCCCCTCTCCGTCCAGTTTGAAGCGTGTTCATTAATTGAATATATATCACAAATACAATTGGATATTAAATTAGCATCGATATATCTTTAAATTGTCCATTACATTTTTTATACATTAAAAGTGTTTTTATCGTGTATTTATACAGATGTTTGTTTCGAGAAAATTTCTAAATTCAGATTATTGTTTTCAATGCAATTACGAATCGTTTTTTCACAACATATTTTAATGTAAAGCTAAGATAGCTTTTTGGATATATTTTCTAAAAGAATTAATCGATAAGTCATTTTTGTTAGTCAGAGGCGTTCATTTTCTCCAATGTCTTATTAAAATTATTTAAAGACTGCCCCCTAAATTGAATTTGAACAACCGCGCCGCGGGTTGTTTGTTTTCATAACACAGCTTCGTAATATTTGAGTTGTCACAATGTTTTTATTCATAAATCATTGAAAACGTTCGCTGAAGTTTGCTATGAGCTTACCTGTTACTTGACATAGGTATTGACACTTCGTATTTAATTTCATCACGTAATATAAGGAGCGTATTCTTTAGGTACATACATAATTACATAATCCTCTTACGATGATATTAAGAATTTATAATATTAAGAGCTTTTCGACTAGTATACTTACAAAAAAAAAATATAAGGTCTTATGAAATAATCTGAATTTTTCGCGAAAATTTATTGTATTTAATATCCATCCAGTATTATTAGATAAATAGGTGTAATGATAATGGCATTTTCTAGCTCCTAATAGTGTGTTAATGTAAAATAGGTTCACTAATTGGCCAACAGATTATTCTTAAGTACAAATATTCCAAGCTGATCTCTTAGTCCCACGGTCCCATCGCTCGCGGACGTAGTGTATTTATAGTATTATTCGAATGTTCCGTGCCCAAGTTCTGCTATTTTATTACATTATTATTATTTTACTACATACACGATACAGAATTTCGACGAAATAATTTGCCACATCGACGCTGAAAAGGCAAATGTATATCATTGAATTCAGTTTGTTCTTTTTTCAAAATTGGTGGCGCATTAGCCAAGTCACAAAATGGTCAATCAAAGATATTTATTTTATTTACATTCCACAACTTTTGTTTGTTCCAAACGTCGCCCAAATATAACTGTTTGACATTTAATATACTACTAATTATCACATTTTACGTTGTTGTTTTGGTCCTTTTTGCTTCCCTGTAAAATCCATTAAATGTGTCTTGATACATTTTGCCTTCCCAACAAGGATGACATTTAGTACTTATTTTTTTTTTGTTGTGTATTATGTTATCTAATTAGAACCGTTAGTTTAGCAACAACCATTTCGTACTCTCATTTACCTGGCATTTAATACGTTTTCCATTCTGTAGCATATTAAAATAATGGTATATTTTTTTTATATAGAAATTCATATACTGTAACAACAATGGCATTATTTTTTGAGATGACATTAACATTTTCAATTAATTATATGATTTCTACTTTTCTAGCAATTGTAGACCAATTTTAATTCATTATTTTTCTAAACATATTTAATTTTCAAAATTGATGTTTACAGTTTTTTTTTTTTTTAATAAGTCTATTTATTGCCACTTACATTTTACAACTGAACAGTATAATCAGATATATAATTAGCGAAACAAATACACAATACATTATATTATTATACATGACTGGCAACAAACTAAATTTTTGCTGCTGTAAACATTTACAAAAAAAAAATAAAAAAAAAATAGCAGAATTGGGACTCCAACGAAATAAATTATTTGTGATCGAAACATTACAACTGCCCTCCCATTAACTTAATGCATTATATTTTTAAAATGTATCATAATGATACATTTTAAAAATACAGAATAAACATACATAGATAAAACACATTTATGTACTTAATAACTAAACTATGAATTACATATTTCAGGTTCACGACAAATAATAATTTATTTTGTATTACATATACCATACGTTTCACTGACTTCGTTTCGCCGAATTTAAATATACTCGTATAATAAAATGCACGTTTCACATTATTGGTTTTTTTTTAATTTAAAAATCAATATTTTTTTTAACAAAATCCAATATGTCTCTCCCCAAAATAAAATTATAAGTTGCCTCATGAAAATGAGTTTTACTTTACTAAACACAAGAAACTGTTTACAATGCAGCTGCTTACGTTAAATAACAAAAAGATTTTAAAGATATACAAATGTAATCCCTAAAGCGCGGTCATACAGTCCGAAATCCTAATAACATTTTTGTAATGTTTCGATTCCGAATTATTTATTAACGGTACTAAGTGACCTCCAGGTGGGTCTGGACAGTTGTAGCGCATTATTTTTCCACAACAACTTATAGCATTGTTCACATCATTGTTATAGTCAATTCTGAATTAATTTGTCGTGGAAAACATAATGGAGTTTACACTGTACCTAATACAGGGACCAGGAGCCGGAATAGATTTAGTGATAATAAAGGATCAACTTTAATACTGTTGAATCGTGTACTCTACTGCCTTATATTAAGGTAGTCTTTACATTGTAATAGTTCTAACGCAGGACTATTATTAGTATTCTAACTAAAATGAAGGAAAATAGACCGTTCTCACATATGATTCGTCTTTGCATATTTTTGAATGTATCCGTCGTATTTGACAGTTCGCGTGCATTAAATATCAATTTACAATTCTTCGATGTGTGAACAAGGCCTGGATAGTTAAGTTTGTCAATCAGAATCAATGCAAGATATTATGAGCACATTTATAACTTACCCTAGATCAGCACAATAGCCATATCATGTTTGTCTTCTTTTCATTTAGGAGTTTCCTCTTGTCGGTGCAACTAATTCGTGCATCTTCTTCCAGCCAGCTCTATCCCAGGCCATATCCTTGACCTCCCTATACGACATGACGCCTAGTGTTTCCTTTATCTGTCCCATGTAGTTATTCCTCGGTCTTCCTCTTCCTCTTTTCCATCATATTTATATGGATTCTTTTTTTATTTTACACCACGACGTCCTGGATGTACACAGGATGACAACCGATACATTTATCCGTATTAATGCTTCTTCACTTGTGTGAAGTTTTACCACCTTTACGAGACACCTTTACGATCCAAAAGTGCAAGAACAATGTTTTAAGAAAAAAGAAACTAGAGTCGTCATCGAGACAGAAAGAGCGCGACGGAGCGCAGTCTTGCCATATTAAAAAAATAATATAAACTGTTACAATTTGCGAACTGTACCATAAGGCAGTACTGCGTATATTTTGCTCTTTTTCCAGTAAATTTATTGATATTATGCCCTACTATGGTATATTATAAAAGTGCTCAATTATTGTTTAGAAATGTTACTACAAGATAAAAGCTGTCTTTATATAAAACTGAGCTGCTTGGAACGTATATCCCATCCGTGTTTTTTGCCATAAAGCATCTGTTCTGGGATGGCTGTGTTTTTTTGTATCATACTTAGAATGTTTCGTATTAAATGGATATAATGGTGAAATTACAGAGTACGAAGGCGAAACACCATAGTCTTAATGGGGATTTAGACCATATTAGGAATACCATGGTCGTTACTGTGTAGTTCGTAGTTTATGTCCATAGTCGCCTATAGTCATGATCCATGGTTAACTTTTACCATCAAGTGGGCTGTCAACTTGTTTGTCATTCTAAGTATCTTAAAAAAAATCATATCGAAAATCTCTTCCATACCTAGTGTACATGGTAAAATATAAATCATTAGTAAACTTTTTAAGGACTTTACTACAAGTGAAAGTGGAATATCAAAAAGGAAGAGTTTAAAAACGACAGAAACTTGGGCCTCTCGAAATAACATGACGCTGTTAGCTGTAAAGTTAGTATAGGAATCTCAAAGTTATTTGGTCTTTTTTTGACTAATATTTCTTCGAAAATAATATCCAATATGTCCAATATAGATTTCGATACCACCTTTATAGTTGATCCAACTACCAATCCCCAAGGTTTATTTAAAGGGAAACAGTTAAAAGAAACATAATGAATAAATAGTACGTACACGACTTTCATTGTTCAAGTTGATCATTTATTACCTCGTGCACAATTTAACGCTACGTAACCGCTGTACCAAAGTAGTTCACGAGGCGTGAAGGTTTCCGAATTCATCAAATCGTACATCCTTAATAATGAGATCCATATTCATAGTGAACATTTAGTGAGGGATCCCATTCATAGTGCTGTGTAAGTCGACATTATTAGTTTATAAATCACGAATAATTATTTTTAAATTTTAGATAATTATAGTGAATACGTGATGAGTCGCTGGTGTAGTGTTCACTACGGTACCCGAAACATATTATCTAACTAGCCATTTTAAGCCAAATTAACTGTTAAGGCGGCCATTTTTTATGTGTACATTTTATTCTGATGCATTTATTTCAATGTGAAATGAGAAGTTAATTGTGAATGTGACGTTATTAAATTAAGTATAATCTATTGTAAGTCATAGTGAATTTGTAACTGATTACTTATATCGGTTTAACACATATTTATGATAAAACTAATGACTCGTATAGAGTCCTATGGAGTCGAACCAACGCGACCGAATTAAATAATTGTCGTTTAATTAAGCAGAATGTTGTCTCAAATTATGAAAATGACTTACAAACAATAGAGAATGATAAAAGTAAATGTAAGAATACATTATATGTACGTTAATTGAAAAATATCAATATTTAAACATTACCTTTTTTACGCACTAAGTAATTAAAATAATAACATGTCAGTCAAGACATCTAGATAGAGTCTCCCTACAAATGTTGTAAAAGTCACTGATAATTAACTTTATTTATTTATATTTACATTTTAATCATATTATTTTTATTTTATTAATTAAACATTTGTGAATTTATATCAATTTATTTGTTAACTTATATTTATTAATTATTATTTTATATAATCGTTTCTTTTTTTCAAAATGGCATTCTTTTAAAATTGTAATATTTTTTTTATAGTAACTGATGACATAATAGTAACATCGTTTTATTTATTTGTACTATTTTATCTATTTTTTGTGAATGTATTATTATTTATTTTTTTTATTTGTTCTTCAAGACTTGTACACAGTGACAAAAAATGGAACATTTAAATTCACAATATCGCAAAAATAACGGATCAGCCAACCGCGTCACGCGAATCTCAGTAAGTTGCGTGAGTCACTCGCTACCAGCGTAATTCGTACTTTTTAAACTTTACTGTATAGAGTTGAAATATTCCCTTTTTTATTATTATTAGAAACACATAAGATATTTAATACGTATTTAAATTATAAGAGAGTCGATGGAGAAACACTTATAATTCATTACAGTATTATATTATAATTTCTTATTATAATATCTTGTATACATTCTAAGATATTATAATTCGTAATTTATTGCATATCTCGTGTAAATAGCGTTACATACTTTATATTGGTTAACTCCTTCAAGTAATAAGTCTTCAGTAGCGATACATTATTTAAATGTAGTTGGAAGCTGTCACATTTACAATATAATATAATCATATAATATGATTATTGTAATCAAGATCACACCGTCTGATCGTCAGATTTGAAAATAAAATAAAAAATGTGTACTGGCTGCAATTGCGTTTTTGTAAAAAAATAGCATTTTGTACATGAGATTCACGTGACTTGGCAGTTGGCTATTTGAGACGTTCTTTACACTCCAATCTCTGTCTAGATGTCTACAGTATGTTGAGTTTAGTTGAACAGTGCTATCTGTCTGGCACTTTTGAGTACTTGAATTGGTGAATGTTAATATTGTAGACGAAGTTGTAAACCACACTATTTCTCCCTTTACACACACCGTAGGCAATTTTGGATACAGTACGCGATGGAATCAGAATGTTGTTATATTGTAGAAGACAGGAAAGTATTTCGAATACTCCAGTGTGGGGCTCAAGATTGTACTTCGTGTGATATATAGATAATATATATATATATAATTATATGTAGATACACATCACGTGGATTTAGCAAACGTGTGTAAAGGAAGCAAGAAAGGCGACCAACAAATGAAATAGAATTAGATTGTGACGTGTCTAGAAGAGTGTTTAGTTCTTGTCGTTTTTGGCAGATAGGTGTTCAGAAAAGAAGAATTCGATGCTGGAAATTGTAAACTGTATTAATTGCCACTTTGACCGACGTTGAGTTATTAAAGTAGTATATTTATCATTTGATTTAGTTCTATCTGCGTCGAATGGGTATATTTAACAAATAAGCCAAGTTGACGGCTTTACAGCCAAGTCAAAAAACCAACCGCAGATATTTTTTTTTTCGGTTTACATTCCATGACATTCGGTTGTTTTCTATTATTTTTTAAATTGTTATCAAACATGTAAAAAATCCATAGATATGATATTAACTGTTTTAAAACCTTAAATCGTTCCTTTGGACTTTTTATTTCGAATTTTTATTCTCTTTGTAGAATCCACTCGGTGGCGATTAATACATTTGTATTAAATATACGTGCGCTTATTGTATTTGTCCATATCTGAGTGTTCAGTAACAAGTGTGTTGCCTTTCAACAAATGCAGTGTTTACAATCGTTAGTGTGGTTGCAATGAATTGTGTATGAGAACATGCATTAGAACATACTCGAATGAAATCGTTCCTAGGGTCCGTAGTAGCACTACAGACGGCGAAGTGTGGACTCGTTTGGTAAAACATTGATCCCGCTGCTAGTGGCATATTTATACACTGTAAATTGTTAACACATTTTGCCATATAGTGTAAATAAGATTCCATCACTACGGCTGGCGATCAATTGTGTTTCCGTTTTTTAATGTGGTGATTGCGTAGGTACTGCATCAAAAATGTAATGAGATTATATAGCTCTGCATTATTCAGAAATAATTACAGTTATTATATTATAAATACATAATGAATTGTGCTTGAATGTGGGGCCGTGTTATGGGAGCGTGCGACTGTGGTGCCACTTGTCCCCCAGTCGCTGTCGGTACGCCTTCCTCTATAACACAGTAGATGTTTAAACATTCTGTAAACATAGATAGTTTGGACGTTAGACCCTACTTTTTGTTCTATACTAGTTATATATTGGCGTCGATACTGAGGCACCATTTCTCTGATATTATCTTTAAAATTTAAATTTACATTTGATATTACGGGAAATCTACTCGTATTATAAGCAACAATATGGATTAAATTTCCATGTATTGCAAATCTAAATTATTTGAAACTATTTTCCACGGCGCATGAATCACTAAGTATTCAAATGGTATTGTTTCTTTTTTTATATAATTTTGTGTCATTATGCCGTATAGGGAAGAGCACTGCTTATCCTAAAGTACAGGATTTACCTATTTAGGGAGCAGGGTTTTACCTATATTTAAAATGTAACATTTATTTTGAAATAAATTATTATTATAATGTGTTAAGACTGTTCCCATGTACTAAATTTGATACAAAATCGACATAGCTGTTTCAGTGTGGTTCACATCCAAATATCTTCCATGTTTATAATGTTAATAGGGTTTTGTTTATGGATGTACCATAAAATGGTACTTTTGCGAAATTATCAAACTAAAGTTGTGGTTTCAGAGATAATTTAAGAGAACGATGTCGCAGTATTGGCTCTATTATTATTATTATTATAGTATTATTTTAATTTGTTAGTTTTATGTTATTATTTATCTAGTTTCATGATAAACAGCATTTGTAATATTAGAGTTGTGTGTACTTACTAATTAAAAACTTTAACGCACATAGCTTTTCAGATGTAGATGTCACTTCCATCGCTCATGTTTTAGTGTTCCACGATCATTTACGTGGTATCACTAATACCTTAACTGTGAAATGACTTTGGCATAATTAAGATTAAAAAAAAAAACTGTATTTTCAACTATTTTCTTATATTGTAAATTGTTTTTTTCTTTACACAAAATGTTTGATACAAATTGCGTATTTAATGTTATAATTGTTTGATAAATTGTTTTTTTTTCCTTTGTTTTTTATATCTCGCGTCTATGCGTCCAAACCATTCGAACACAGTTTGCTTCAGATTCCGATTTCTATTCTCCCATGATAGGTCAGGAGCTTTTTCCAATTTGTATACTTGAGTTAACAGTGCTATGCTGTAAGAATGAGTTTTTTTTCGTATAAGTTGTAAATCGAAAAATTGTATAAATGATTCAATAAAGTGTAATTGATGTTTTATTTTGTAACCAATTATTATCCCATACTTTAGTTGATAGAAAACATGGTGGAATGAGCCACCTCTCTGTGTTAATAGTCTACAATGGTGGGGTACTAAGAGGTGAAGTGATAAGTATGATGGGGAAAGGGATTTTATTTTATTTATTTGGACTTTGTACAAAAGTCGATTGCTTGGGTGCCTCTGTCCCATTCGTGTTTCAACTGTGAAGCAGTTGTGTTTGCATGGCTGTGTTTCGGTTTGAATGGTGGGGGGGATATGGCGTGAATTTACTGGGTACAGAGGAATAACACCTGAGTCCTCAGGAATGGTAACGCGTGGGGGGTATCATGGACGAAACAGTATACTCTGTTATGTCCATGGTACTGCTCATTTCTATAGGCGACGGTTACCACTTTCCATCAGGTGGGCCGTCAGCTTGTTTGCCATTCTAAGTTGTATAAAAAAAAACAGAAGTTTACAAATACAAACTTAAATTATAACATGCAAGTATATTAATGTATTGTTCAGGTAAACTTGCCACAATATGTGCATGGACACACACAGCACGATCCAATAATAAATGCTATATAATAAATTGTTAGTAATAGATAGGGTCTAACAGCTCCATTGCTAGCAATACATACATGATAGGGTATCAGATCGGCCTCCACGCGGTTCTCCCTGGAAACCATCGTGATTAATTCTAATGTACTTCGTCACAGTGGGTTAAATGACCTGCTTTCATCGTCACTTATCATCCCACATTGTGCCCCGCCAGCGTATATCGTTTTTTTTTTGTAATGGTTGAAAATGGAATAGTAGCCCCGCCTATATGATATATATGATATATATATATGAGGATGAAGCAGGTCAATTGGCTTATTGTGACTGATTTAACAATATAATTAATCACAATAGTTTCCAGGGAGAACCGCGTAGAGGTCGACCTGATAGGATCCATTGCCAGCAATGGGATTGTAAAGTCCCATTACTACCAATACTCTTTCTTCCTAGCGTATACCGTATACCAATGATAGGCGAGGATGAAAGCACATTAATTTTCCCATCGTGAATACCAGAATTAATCACTATGCTTCCAGAGGGGACCACGTGGAAGTCAATCTGATTGGGTATATTGCTAGCGATAGGGCCTCCTAGCAACTTCCTCCCCCGTACCCTGTAATTTCACTGTCATATACCAAATTTCAAATCGAAACAGTCACGCAAGCAGCATCTTCAACAGATATACGAAATGGACAAAGAAGGGGCAGAAACTGAGGCCCAATTCTGTTACTATACCATTAAAAGACCCACGCGATCCTTTGAAAATATCAGTGAATAATATAACTCTTAGTTTTTTTTTTAATGGATAATAATGATATGGTAACCCTACCCGCGCTATCGGTATACAGCGGGGCACCAGTGAAGGATGATAGGTGAGGATGAAGCAGGTCAGTTGGCCCATCGTGACGAATTCAACGAGAATCATTCACGATGATTTCCAGGGGAACCACGTGGAGGTTGACCTAATAGGGCATATTGCTAGCAACGGGGCTGTCAAACTCCATTACTAACAATCCCTTTCCCCCCAACACCTACATATTGGGTATGGTCAAATGCAAATAAAACAAACAGTAAAATGTTTATAATTTATTTAAAAGAATAGATACAATAAAAATCAAATTACTAGTGGAAATTAACAAAAGAACAAGTTTCGAACAGCTCATGGTCACATTATGACCCTAACTGTACACACTTGGGGACGATAGTGACGGGATCATACAACTGCTACAGTGGTTCCTGTTTCGAGAGTGATAAAAACAGTACCTAGCGCTCAGTGTATCCAGTCGAAACCCAATGATCATCACTTCAAAATCAAAACTTTGTCCAAAAAAGTAAAAATTTTAATCAATTTTTAATTTTTAAAATTACACATATACAATAAATAAAAAACAGTATGCATATAAGCCGTGTAGTCCCGGCATAGAATAGAATAGAATAGGCCACCGCTTCCATGTCTGAGCGTGTGTAGGAGGTGATTAAGAGAGCTTAATAGTCGAGGGATGGGCAGTAGTATCCCTCTTTAAACGTCTTCAAAGCCTAACTGCAGTTGCCAACCCGCCTGCCAAGCGTAGCAACTACTGGCAAAGCACCTCTTATGGAAGCAGTGGACAGTTCAGTTTATACAACTTTAATCCATTTGCAGTATCATTAATACTCATTTGATTAATTGATAATAATTTAATATATATATAATAAAATTTTGAGACCTGACTATTGTGATGTTATTTTTTTTATGGGGTATGTATACTTATAAATAATCAGTTAAAAAGAATATATATTATCTTTAGTAAAATTTCCATATTTTTGTAACAATATTATTTAACATACTATTATTTTAACATTGTATTATAGAATAGTAAAAATCACATAATATATTCGGAATTATATAAAAAAAAAACATTTAAACTAAGAACTAAACACCTCAAGCTAAAACAAGTTTACTGGTAATTTGACATTATTTACTAAAATATATATATATATTTATATATATATATATATATATATATATATATATATATATATATATATATATATATATGTAAACTTGTAAAATTTATTAATTAATTACACAAGAATTATTATGAATTAGAGAATCAATATTCTCACATTTTAATATTCATAAAATAAAACCATCTCCCATTTTGAAATTTTACAATAAATATTGATGACAAGAAATATTTCTTTTGTTTTTATAATGTATAATGAGACTTGTGTACACGTTATGGGACAAATTGTACAAGGCCACAAGACAAGTGTCATGGTAATGCTTGTGAAATGGTAGGATTCAATAAATTAACACAGACACAGGAGTTAAAAACTTTTGTAAATTATAAAAAAAATAACCGACTTTCCATAGACACATTTCATGGTAATAATGCTTGTGAAATGGTAGAATTCAATAAGTTAACACAGACATAGGAGTTAAAAACTTTTGTAAAATATAAAAAATAATCAACTTTCCATAGACACGTCTCATGGTAATGCTTGTGAAATGGTAGAATTCAATAAGTTAACACAGACATAGGAGTTAAAAACTTTTGTAAAATATAAAAAATAATCAACTTTCCATAGACACGTCTCATGGTAATGCTTGTAAAATGGTAGGATTCAATAAATTAACACAGACACAGGAATTAAAAACTTATGTAAATTATAAAAAAAATAACCGACTCTCCATAGAAACGTGTCACGGTAAAGCTTATACAATGGTAGAATTCAATAAATTAACACAGACACAGATGTTAAAAGATTTTGTAAATTATAAAAAAATAACGTACTTCAAGAAAAACAAATGCCCTGTGCCCCTTCCTTTCCCGTGGGATTCGTGAATGGTCGAGGGATGGGCAGTAGCATCCCTCTCAGAACGTCACCAAAGCCTAACTGCGATTGCCAACCCGCCTGCCAAGCGTGGCAACTACTGGCAAAGCCCCTCCGTATAGGGGAAGCTTATGTTCAGCAGTGGACAGTTAATGGCTGATGATGATAGTGATGATGAAGAAAAACAAATACATATAAATGTTAAAAACGATAAAAGATAACAAATGTTAGTTACTAACGTATTATTTTAATTCCACGAGGCGGAATACAACAAATTAACAATTAATTTAAAATGTACATAATAAATCTTTGTAAAAGATAAAAAAATAATGTAACTCAAATTATACATTATTGATTTTACGAGCGGGAAATTATAAACAAATGCTGTTTATTAAAATGGTACATTTTATGATTCAACTACAACAATGGCAGTATATAGGCGAAGTTAAAATAAGACCAATCCAGTAACCAGTGTGTCTGCAATGACGTACAAAAATCAATTAACTATTTGATTTGACAGAAGCCAAATTAAAGTATGATACCATGGAATTATATTATTCATATTAAAGTTTAAAGGCCTGTAGACTCATGCGTTAGTATCGTGTAACGAAATAAGGATCCACATACGGACAGCACTACTGTTAAGTTCGTGCCAACATACCAGGCATCGAGCATCAGGGTGTAAAAAGAAAACAGGTACCAACGAATACCTGCTCGTGCACACTATTAGTGTTACATTACACGATATGTTATGTTACATGTTATGACGTGTGTTATTACCAAAACAGTGATCAGTGAAGTAAGGAAGTGTTAATAGATTATTTAGAGCACAAATATATAGAGATTAGATCAGAGGTTGCGGAAAGAGAGTAATTAACTTGTTAACAGAAGAACTGGCATCGCTGGTCTGGAATTGACTGAAATTGTACCTAACACCATTAAATATGTTACCTAAACAACTAAAACGACTCTAATAGTGGTGAACTGGTTAAATACCACGAGCTGGTGTGATGATACATTCATCATATTCTAACACTTAGCAAATTAAACATACACCTACACAAACATGTTAAAAGGATGGTGTAAAAATGTGATGATAATTTATATGATGTGTATATATTAGAAGCAAAAGTCCTCACGGGCCGCATGTAAAGGCGTGCGCGTAGTTCTTTTTGCTTTCAAACAAAACTAAACTTTATATAAACTAATGCAGAGTATAATGTTCACTAGATAAAAAAAAAATGTGTTTATAGACTGGTTTTAGAATACTAATAATATTATATATGTAATCTTATAATCTAATGCAAGCGAACGTCGTGTTTTTTAAATTAGGCAATTCGTGATATATTGGGATTGCTTTTAAAATTCCTTAATTAGTCAACATAAGTCTAATAAATGTATTTAGATAGATAGATATATAATTTATTTATATTACAGCATGCAAATTGCAACAGACATAGATATACAATAGAAAGAGATAAAAGAATACATAAACAAATAAAAGAAAATGTAAAATGCATAAAAGAAGTAACGATTTTTTAGTATTAAGAGAGTATTTTAAAGCGCATTTCAGTATCGACCTTGCTGTCCCAATATATACGATTTGTCTAAATAAAAAACCAGCCCATACGCGTAAAACTAACGATTTTTAAACATTTGTACTCAAAGAATCCAATTATATTACATCCCATTTTATTTTTGTAATAATAATACTAGAATTTATAAACTATTAATCCGAATTAACTACTTGTCAATTAAAATTGTTTTTTTTTTTTTAGTATCAATCAACAATAATTTGTTTAACAAATGGCAAGCGGTCCTTTATTTACTACTAAGACTTACTTTTCAGGCACATCACTAGAAAAGAGTTCTATGAATTGAATATAAATGTATATCAAGATTGGAGCACTGTTTATAATTTCAGCCAGTTATTACAATCATTTCAGACCGCCTACAGACGTGTAGCATGTAACATACTGTGTAACATAACGCGCATTTTACGTAGAGACGACAAGCGCGAGCGTTGCATGTAACATTCGTATCGACATGATTTAAGTAAACTTAAAACCGTTCACATTACACGTAAAAACTTTTTGAGTTAGAAGGGAGAAGGGATTGTTAGTAAGCTAGCAATATACCCTGTTAGGTCGACCTCCTCGTTGTTCTCCCTGGAAACCATCGTGATTGATTTATTGACATATTTGTCACGGTGGGCTATCTGACCTGCTTAATCTTCACCTATCATCCCTCATTGGTGCCCCGCCGGTGTATACCGATAGCGTAGGCGAGGTTACCATTCCATTTCATCCATTAAAAAAACACTATTTGCGTTACATTACACGATGCATAACATTACATATCACGCTTGTCTGAACTCGTCCTTAGGACCGGAGCAGAAGTGTACACAAAATTAACTAAAATTGACTGAACTACTGGCACAATCTCGATATACCATAGTGTAGACCACTCCTAATTAACTATTCATCATTGCCATATATTATACAATTATAGGATTTTGCATAAAAATGTATTATTATGCACGCGGACAAAATGTCCTCTGTCAGAGACATTAAAACAACTAGAGTGTACCTGGTACTGTCCGTCGTCTGCGCAGATGTTAGGGCTTCTGATATTATAACGACGATATGAGGGGTCTTAATTCAAAGAGTGCTGCTAACGCGAGGTGGTCGGACGCGTAGACGTCGTTCGGTAAGCAATCAAGCACTTCGCATTCAGACGCCGTCGGTAGACGGAGACGTTCCAACAGCTTCAGCGAGGCACAGCAGCTGAAAAGAGAGTTTTGTACAACGTGAAATGACAGGCAGGAAGAGTCACACCTGATGGAAAGTGGTAACAGCCACCTTCAGATAGTATAGCCCAGTGTATATGAAATTTTTAAATAAAAAATATATTGCGACCACCCACCCTCCACGGTTTGGAATGTGTATGAATTGTATTATAGTACAATTATGAAATCCAATGTAAGTTGCCAATCTAAGTTGCATAAAAAAAAGCTCATAAAACATACGGTGCGTTTGTCTAAAAGCTAATATACCTGAAGTATATGTAGTCGACGGTGACCCAACTGTCTTGGAAGGTGGACGCCTCACACTGTGCGTCCGGCTTGTATTTTTTATAGGCGGAGACGAGGTTGAGCGAGTGGCCGATCAGGTTGCCGTTGAACAGCTCTCTGTGACCTTCGCGGAGAGCAGGCGGGCTCTGGCCCTCCGACGCGGCTGGACGGTACTCCGAATTGTATATCTGGGAATGGAATTATATATATATATATATATATATATATATATATATATATATATATATATATATATATATATATATATATATATATATATATATATATTCTTTATTGCACTTGCAAGTTACATATAAAATAATGTATTTATAAATGTTGTGAGCAAGGGTGGACTTATCTCTGACAGAGATCTCTTCCAGTCAACCCAATATAGTGAGAAAGCATTTCGTTAGCGGGCTGCTGACGTGTTTTTTTTAATGGATGATAATTAAATGGTAACCTTGCCTGCGCGATCGGTATACACCGGCGGGGCACCAGTGAGGGATGATAGGTGACGATGAAAGCAGATCAGTTAGTCCATCGTGACGAATTCCACTAGAAGTAATCACAATGGTTTCCAGGGAAAACTGTGTGGAGGTCGACCTGATAGGGTGAATTGCTAGCAATGGGTCATTTAGACTATATTACTAACAATCCCTTTCCCCCACCCAAGGGAGTCGGTAAAGATTTTTTTATACAACTTAATAAACAATCTGACAGTCCATCTGATTGAAGCGGTAAGTGGCCAGTACACATGAAGATAGGTGTTACTGGTGTCACAGTATACACTGTGACGCCATCTACTGCCACAGTCAGCAGTGAATTAGAATTTGAATACCTGTGTGGTGCTGAATTCCGTAGTTTTGCCCTGTAACCGGTCCAAGTACACAGACAAATGTTGGCAGTTGTCCGTCACGCCGATGCGTTGCCAGTCCGAACTGTCTCTGAACTTGCTCGCACTGGAATTTAAACAAAATTAAACTCTAGACAGTGTAATATAAAGTCGCTATCCGCGCCTATCTCTGCAAACTTCTTTTAATGCCACGTGTTCATAAAAAATCAATTGTTTTCTGTCTTTTTCTATTGTGTTCTAAAACTTATATGGAATGAAAAGAGACAGAAGACAACGCAAATAATATTATTTCATAATTTAGGTATTTTTTTGTCTATGGCAGCATTTATGGTCTACAGAAAAGAAAAAAATATTGTACTTAAAATAATTACAAATGGCGGCAATGTTGCTTTTTTCCCGCTCCTTCATTGTAAAAGAATAAAAAAGTAATTTTCTTTATGTGTTTTATTTTATTAATCACATGCACCAAGTAATGGCCATATGGGGTTATATATAATATGGGGTTCACTATGTATGTATATATTTTACAGAAGGTCTGTATGCATGTTTGTCATGCACCGGAGGGAGACTTTGTTCAAAAGTCGATTACTTGAGTACCTCTGTCCCATTCGTGTTTCAACCGTGAAGCAGTTGTGTTTGCATGGCTGTGTTTCAGTTTGAAGGGTGGGATATGGCGTGAATTTACTGGGTACAGAGGAATAACACCTGAGTCCTCAGGAATGGCAACGCATGGGGAGTATCATGGGCGAAACAGTATACTCTGTTATGTCCATGGCACTGCTCATGTCTATAGGCAACGGTTACCACTTTCCATCAGGTAGGCCGTCAGCTTGTTTGCCATTCTAAGTTGTATAAAAAAAAATTTGTTAATTTGAATCCGTGCCGTGTAAAAATTTTAAAGCAGAAATGAAATTTGATATTATGTTTGCAAGTGGTGCAATAAAGTGTAAATACATACAAAAAACGGTTTCCCTCCCGCGTTGCTAGACTTTATTCTCACCTGACGTGACCTTTGTCCAATAATTTTATAACGGCACTGTTCGGCGTAGAATTCAAATCCCCCGTCATGATTATGGGTAAGTGACCCGACCTATAACAAATATTAATATTTAAAAAAAAAAAAAACAAAATAATATTTGAGCCTTGAAGGGCGTGTAATTTCATTAAATACTCAAAATGGTGTTTTATAAAAAAAAGTTTTTTTTTAATATTATTTATTTATATATATATATATATATATATATATATATATATATATATATATATATATATATATATATATATAGATCTCGGAATAGAATGGGCCACTTATGTTTCATAAAAGCAACAGCCAAATGCCTCTCTTCTCTTCCTTCTCCTTCGTCTCGCGACTGACTTTTGACTCTTGGCCACAACAGAATATCAGTGTTTTGCTCTTTTGAGGGCAAAGCAATGAACTGACTTGTGACCACTCTATGTTACTGTGACACACTCACGAGAAATTGTGTAACCTCTTTTATGTATTTTCTTTTTTTTTTTTTTTGTATATGTTTTGGTTTAATTTCTTTAAATATGTACCAATAGCTAATGTTATTTGTGTGCTGTAAGTGATGTAAATAAATTAAAAAATAAAATTAATAAAAAAAAAATGTCCAGAGTGTATTTATTTGTTATTAATTTAACTCACTCTTTTCCATTGTTGTAATAAGCGAACCGGTCCAATTCGGCGAGGAACACCTGTATCTGTGCTAATCTAACGTCGGTCCTCTTAGGGTTGTACAGCAGGTGGGTGGTGGCCACCACTATTGGCATCCGGGGCATGCAACGGGGCACCAGTTTCACCATCACACCGATGTTATCCCGGTTGAGGATGGGCAGCTCCGGTTGGTTAAACTCCACCTGTCGACAAGGAGCATTTCCTTTTTGGATGCAATCCTTACTATTATTTATAGACAAGCTTTTACCTACGTGTGGATAGTGGTATTTCTTTCAACCAACTGCAAAAAGAAGCAGGTTTTCAATTCGGTTCTCATTTTTTTTTTATATTTAGCTCTACCACTTTCCATCAAGTCCGCCGTCAGCATGTTTGCCATTCTGAGTTACATAAAAAAAAAACTGTAAATAATGTCACGATGGGTGTCATGGTAAGTCAAACCTTGAATGTAAACACTGAACTAAAGTGATGCAATCAAACTACGTTTCAAATCACACCATGACTAAGCAAATGGGCAGAGCCAATGAAATAGCTTCTGCCAATCGCGTGATCCGCACAAAGAAACGCATGACCGACTAGCTTCAATCTACGGCTTTGCTCGCTTTAATTACCCTAAAAATATTCTATTGGTTAATCTGGATGAAGAAGAATGAGGGGTGAAAGTACCTATTGTTAATCTCATTTTGCTAGCAAACTGTAATCTGTCTTTTCTCGCTTTATTTACCCTACAAAAATCCTATGTATTAATTTAGAATGTGGGGTGAAAGGATTGTTAATCCCATTTTGCTAGTAATGAACCTTATCAGATCGACCTCCACATGGCCGCCCTTGAAAACCGTCGTGCTGAATTCTAGTTATTTTTTAATGGGTGAAAATGGAATGGTAACCCCGCCCGCGCTATCGGTATACATCGACGGAACACCAGTGAAATATGATAGGTGAGAATGAATGCAGGTCAGTTGGCTCACCATGATGGTTTCCAGAAGGAACCGCGTGAAGATCGACCTGATAGAGTGTATTATAGCATATTGCTAGCAATGGGTCTATTAGACCTCATTACTAACAGTCCCTTTCCCCCCGCTAAATTCCAGATGTGAACATCACGCCCGACTAACTGACCTGCTTCATCCTCATCTATCACCCCTCACTGGTGCCCCACCAGTGTATAACGTTAGCGCAGGCGGGTTTATCATTTCATTATCATCCATTAAAAGAAATCTAGGATATGGTGTGATAAATCAGTGAAATAGTAATAAAAAATAAGTGATTGGATAGTACATTTAATATGCTTGTTATTGGACCGATATATAGTTATTGTAACTGCGATATATAGATATGTTAATATAATACCAATCCCTAGCGTGCAATAAAAATCATTGGCATCCCTTTAAAGAAGTATTTCACCGATGGAATCGAACATTTCCCCACAGAGGGCGCTGTTGACACGCACTCAAGTTGACGGCTAGACGCGGCGTGTTCGGATTTATTGGCTGTACACTCCCTCCGCTCAAGTAGTACAAGTACTTTAATCAGCAAACATATTTCTTAAAGAAACAAGGGTACCAGGATGATACAAATTAGTGGCTTCCAAGTGACTTGACAAGTAGACGTGGTGGGTTTACATAGTTCTTTTAAGGGAATATTTTTGTGTAACATATTCTTTTACCAGAGGGAGACTTTGTACAAAAGTCGATTGCTTAGGTACCTCTATCCCATTCGTGTTTCAACCGTGAAGCAGTTGTGTGGCTGTGTTTCGGTTTGAAGGGTGGGATATAGCGTGAGTTTACAGGGTACAGAGGAATAACAGCTGAGTCCTCAGGAACGGCAACGCATGGGGGGTATCATGGGCGAAACAGTATACTCTGTTATGTGCATGGTACTGCTCATGTCTATAGGCGACGGTTACCACTTTCCATCAGGTGGGCCGTCAACTTTTTTGCCATTCTAAGTTGCATAAAAAAAATATCGCAGTGATATCATAGTCAACTGAATTGGACATAGTCGATTATTGTCTTTAATCTCCTATGATATTAGCACTTTATGGACAATTTACCATTTAGTTGGCCATTCTAAGTTGTAAAAAAAATCTACATATGTATTTTGTATATTTGCGGTTGGGTCCCAGTATAGAATGAACCTTGCTTCCTTTCCCGTAGGTGTTGGAAGAGGCGACTAAGGGAACTTAATGGTCGAGGGATGGGAAGCTGCGTCCCTCTCAAAACATCTCTAAAGTCTAACTGAGGTTGCCAACCCGCCTGCCAAGCGTGGCAACTACTGGCAAAACTACCAAAGGGGGAGAAGTCTCCCCTTTGGTAGTTCAGCAGTGGACAGTTAAAATCCGACATGATGATGAACAAGTATTTATTTCCAAAAGAAATGAAATAAGTCTGTCAATATTAGTCTAATACACATAGTACAAGCACGGCTTAGTTTAAAATATTTAAAAAAAATAGATTTTATTTTTAATGTAATTTAATTTGATAAATTAAAAGAGGAAACATTTAATTGTTTGTAATGAATAAACTCAAAAACTACTCGAGCAATTTTATACATACTTTCACGTATCAGCAAGTAAAATAAACTATTTTCGAAAATTTCAGCAGACACGAAAGGCTATAATTTTCGATAATTCTATCTTACCGCGCGAAACCGGGGCCGAAAACTAGTTTTTTACAAAAACACAATCTGTGCTCTCTTAGGTATACATAAAAACTGAAACCTACCAACCTTTCAAGTATTGAATTGTTTGTCACTTTCCTTCAAATTGGGAACTTAGCGTAGAAGAAAGGGACAAAACTGTTCAGCTACCGCTTACCGTAGAGTTTCGACGTATTTATCAATAAAGAGGGATAATTTGTAACAAGCATTGTGTAATGTGTACATAGACATATATTACCACTGTAATGCATCTAAATAACAACAGATAAACGGCACGTGTAGAGCAAACTATGGTAGCAATAGTTTATCTATTTGTTACATGACCTGAGGGCAGATAGTTAATAGGGCGTGCAAGGGACCTTGAGTGGTACTGTATTAAGGGTACAACGTCGTATTAAATATATATAGGACTAGCTACCAACCGCGACTTCGTCCGCGTGACCGGAATGTTTTCACTGACTCACGATCCCATATAGTGTTGATACTGTTAAGACTCTAAGGAACAAGTTGTTTTTGTTTAAATCATTTACAAATTTTATTTCTCTTGTTGTACGGCTAACTTCATACTGTGTTCCCTGATCATAGTTGTTAAACAACGCAAACACTTGTGAAGTTAGTTCCAATAAAGTAACAGAAGCAAATACACGTCTTTATCCTTGCAAAAATCATAGTGCAAGTCTCATTACACAAAAAAGGACCCTATTGTATAGAACACAAGTTATTAGTCCTGTCCAATATTACATATATTTGGACTGCGGTTGCTAGTTCGTGGCAACTTTTGGCAACCATCCCCCCCCCCCCCCCCCCCCAAGGGGGAGGCTTATGTTTAGCAGCGTTAAAGGCCGATATGATAATGCTGACTAATATAATAAATGTGAAAGTGAGTTTGTTTGTTACATTATAGCAGCTTAACAGTTTTATCAAAGAAAGTAAATAAATAATTTAGACAAAAAACCACCATGTAAACGCCAAGGATGAGAATGACCCCAGTTTTTTTTATTTTTTTATTGCACGATTAATGGAATGGCGACCCCGCCTGCGCTAACGGGATACGTTGGCGTGGCACCAGTGAGGGATGATAGATGAATAATGAAAAAAGCAGGTCTGTTAGCCTATCATGATAAATACAGTTGGAATTCAGCACGATTGAAAAAACTATTTTTCTTTACGAAGAAAAACTTAAAAAATTGTTTAACATCTGTTTATGCGTAAACAATAAAATTTGTATTATTAAAAACTAATAAATCGGTATGGTTGCGCAAGAGTCGATCGATTTAAGAATGTAATACAGTGAACGCTCTATATAAGCAACCTGTCTATAAGCAACATTTTTTATATTTAAGGCTGCACACGCGACGGAAGCTTAAAAATGGAATAACTTCTCCCGTTTTCCCAACATTTCCCTTCACTGCTCTGCTCCTGTTGATTGTAGCGTGATGAAAAGTATACTATAACCTGCCCAGGAGTATGAGGAATAATTGTTGTCCAAGTTTCGTTAAAATCCGTCGAGTAGTTTGTGTTTCTATAACGAACATACAGAGAGACAGATAAAAATTTTATTGATTGCATTTTTGGCATCAGTATCGATCACTAATCACCCGCTGATAGTTATTTTGGAAATATATTTCATGTACAGAATTGACCTCTCTACAGATTTACAGATACAGTAAAGTATTTTTATACTCCTTTTTCCCCTATAAGCATTTTTTCCCAATAAGAAACTTTTTTATTAAAACTGGTCCAAATGAGTTGCTTGTATAGAGCATTCACTGTATACTGAGGTTCTTCAAAAGGGGCGTAAAGAGGTTTCTTCAGGGTCGGCAACGCGCGTGTTATACCTCTGGTATTGCAGGCGTTCATAGGCAACGGTAACCGCTTACCATCAGGTGGGCCGTATGTTTGCCACCTCAGGGGTATAAAAAATATAGCCTAATATACTGGTAGATAATGCAGACTTCTATAAGTGAGAGAAATTAAATCTATTATGTATATTTTGAATTTATTATTATATATATAATAAATAATTTATAGGCTTTGGCACATACAAACAAATTAGTCAATAGTTACTATGTCTCATACTGCTTATCGTTGTTTTAATATATATATTTATATATATATATATATATATATATACTATAATTACGTCACATATTTTCACTACATCTGCCCTTCAAACGCTTTCTGTTTTTACCTAATAGTCAACTGGTAGAGAATGCCATACGACATTAAGCTCGCCACTTGTACAAAGTTTTATTGTGCAATAAAGAATAAATAAAAAAAATAAAATAAAAAATTACAAATAAACATAACACTTATTAAATGTTTATCGTTTAAATAAGACAAATTAGTTTTATAAAACACAATTTAGATATGTAGCGTTTTATTGTTGTAGCGAGATTGACGATGTGTTAACACAAGTGATAATAAAATAGTGGGACAATAACTTTATGCAAGAAGTCAGTTAATGACTTCGTAGGGTCAACAATGATGTGTACGTGACGCCTCTGATGTTGCAGCCATACACAGG